TCGATCGCCAGTATGAATCGGAACGTAAGTGGTCATGTCGTAGACCTTGCAAGGTTGGGCTAAGAAGCTGCCCAAACATGCTCAACTTCCAGTTGACAAAAGGTTGCCAAGCCGCCTTGCACCTCAAGATCACCCAGCAGTCGGCTTTGGCATTGTGGCTGGCCACCGTGGTAGCAGAGATCAGTGTCGTGGACTCCGAGGGAACTGTCGGGTTGAGGATGGAGCCCTCTCCTCCGATGATGGGAGACGGCGGAGACGGCGGCGGCGTGGGCGTTGGCGCTGGAGCAGCAGTTGTGGTGGTGGCCGGCGTGGGATTGGGCGCGGGCACCGGTGTGGGCGTAGGCCGTTTGACTGTGTCGTCCCAAGAGCCCATCACCGGCATGCGCGAGATGTAGGAATCCTGGACGGATCACTTCATTTGCCAAGAAGAACATGACTTGAGTCATGAATGCGACTATGTTCAAATGGAGCAAGTAGCTGTTCATGTACAAATGGCAACGTGCGAATGCAGCAAATTTCAATATTTTTCAGATAAAGTGTCAGCATGCACGCTCGAGAAGGACGCCGTGACATCCATGCCGCAAAGCAACATGTAGCTTCCCGCTGGGTGGGTGGAGCGTAGCGCTGTCATGTCCACCACCCACCTGCCAATGCGACCCCAGCAGTCGCCGGTGCTGCTGTGCTGCGCTAAAACCGCAGCTGTGATCCCAGATTGCAACGGGGGAGGACTTGGAGTGGGCGACGGGCCCGGGGAAGGTGAAGGGGTCGTGGTTGGAGGGCTCGTAGGCACCTCAGCATGTGGCCCTTGACATTTCTCTCAAGCGAGCATAAGAAAACTCAAGAAAAATCAAGAGTGCTAATCACAGCAAGATGCAGGGTAGCTGCCCGACAGCTGACCCTTCATGACAATGTAGCCATATTTCACCCCCTGAGTCAAATACGAGAAGGGGTGAAATGCCCGGTAGGCAGCGGTCGAATCTCTGCCGCACATGGATAGGATGTAAGCTTTACCGCCAGGATGAAAATGTGCATACGCGGTGATGTCCATGACAACTTTCCTTGGCTCCAGCGCACAATAGCTGGTTTCCTATCCAAATGACTCAATGGGGTGACTAAACCAAGCATATCAGATGGGCATGATATTTGATACTAGCAGGTGTTGCCTCCATGTCTGGCGTGTCTAAGATGCATTTCACACAAATCCAGTCACTGCACTAGCTTAGAAGTGCATGTGCTCAACTCTGAGTCGATGCACTCGACTTGATGTACCCTATTGCTTGCAAATGCTAAAAAACCTGATCTCGGCCTCCCTGCTTCCACATTGCCTGACAATTGCACGAGCATATCATCAACTGGATGAAGCAACAACTGGTCCATCACAACCCTTTCACAACTAGTGAGCGCGTGATTTGCGGTCCGAATCATCGGCCAAGCGGCGTGCTTCCAGACTCCATACTCGTCCAGCAGTCATCAGCTGAAACATGATTGGCGACCTCACTGGCCGCAACTGCTGTGGATGGAGCAGTTGGCAGGCTGCCACCTGCCGCGCATGAATTCCTGATGCCCTCATCATCATCGTCGTCCTGGTCATAGACCCAAAACAAATGGGCGATTTTGCAACCACTATCATAGAGCTTCATTCCACAAAATGTCGCAAAACACCCAATTCGGAAGGCTGACATATCCGCACAAACCACTCATTCCACTTTCAACTAGCTTAACAAGAAGTAACGAAGCAGGGCCACATCCTTGCTGAATCCGAGAACCACAACACAAACCAGAATGCCAATGCAAGCACCAATATACACTAGCCCACACGGTCCAAGGTTCTTTGGAACTATGCGCTGTAAAGCAAACACATAGTCATTGAACATCCACTTGAACGATTGGCAGATGTGGCAAACATGGTTTAAAGGCTCCGCGTTCGAAGATTCTTCATCTCTGGTTTCAGACCTTCGTCTATACTACTTACTACTATCATGCTCGTCCACACACATGGCAACAATGCCCACTGAGTATTTGAGCTTCACCAGCCTATCAAAGACATACACACCAAACAATGCATGGTCTCGTGAATCTCTTCAAATTATATTTGATCTCATGAATTCATCATTTTTTAGGCCCATTGTTTTGACAGCCATGCTGCAGGGCCATGCTTATTCCCTAAAATGGACCAACAGAGGCAACCCCCAACTAATGGATTTCCATTGACTGGACTTAGGAGCACCAAAAAACGAAGTCCTCATCATCCCAATCATCATCGTCAAGGCGTCGGCCGCCGATAGCACTGGCGCTGGTGCGGCAGATCTCGGTGACGTCTCCGTCTTGAATAGACTCCTGGCACTTCACGCATTCCGTCGCCCACCCCCCCCCCCCGCACCAATCACAGGTGGTTGCTGCAAATTCGTCTGCTCTCAGAACAGGCGGATCAAACAAACAAAATAATCAAACATGAGCTGCAAACGGTTTCCTCCAAACATGCGGATCAAACAACTGGTTGCGTTAAGCAAGACTCGATGGGCGGATCTGAAGACACATTCATGAACACGTCAATAAAGGCCTCGACCGGGAAAACAAGCACCATAGCCAACCGTTCCATGCGCGCAAGTGCAAGGAGTTCTTTGCGTTTTTTTAACACAACAAGCGTTGAGGCAAATGTGGCGCACAATCAGCAGCAACAACCCGTACACCGTGGCTCTATGCTGGCCACTTGACACCGGACAACCATTTCTTCAGGGGGAACAGAATCGCGGCTTCTTGGGTTTTATCTTCGTTCCAATCATGGAACCTCCCCAAAAGGAAAATCTTCCAAAATTCGCCCTGTTAGCTTTCATCCTTGGGATGTGCGAATAGCGTCCTGCAGGTCTTCCAAGCCATGGACGCACCAAAATCCAATGGTGCCGTCCAGGCCGCACATCTGCGCGACGACCCGTCGGCCACCTGCCGACAGAATCCAACCAATCAGTTGGGAATGAAGCCCGACTGATGCAGGACTGTTGTCCATCCGGGGAACTCATTCTGGGCGTTTTCGGCTGATTCTGCAACAACCGCGATTATACTTCGTGTTATATACTTCGTTTGACTCGACACAGCAACACCAATGAGTACTTGACTTGGATGTACCCAAAAGAAACCAACACGTCAAAACAAAGGATGGATAGGCTTTGAATATTGTCCAAACCCTCTATTTGGCACCCAGCTTGGGATTAAAACATGACATATGCATTCACTGCACTGCCCCTAGCAGGTGGCATATTGTGATTGTTTCATGCATCTTGTTGCCGTGAGTACTGCCGCTTGACGAGGAGATTAATGGCATGAGAGGAACGATAATCAAACGCAGCCCATCAGCCAATCACGAGTGCCGAAAGTGATTGCCATCCGACGGATGAGGTTTGAAATCTCTTTTGCAGAAACTCCGATCTCAGCCTATAGGGTAGAACCTAACATGTTAGGCAAATTGTCATTCACAAGCCGGAAATTGGGAACAAGTCGAGGAGGGACCTTCATGGTTTATCTCATCTTACCCCCCAAGCTCGTTTGAATGTCAGTAAACTGGGACACGTTCCTGAGCCCGCCTTCGTGGTTTCGAATAAGCCGAGTCACGTCGTACACCACCTTCTGGCGGTTTACGACCTGACTTTCCGCGAATCAGACACACAACGTTTACGACCTGACTTTCCACGAATCAGACACACAACATCATAATTCCAGAGGAATAATCTCCCGTTTTCGCCTTGTCCTGTTTGCCAGAACTTTGACAACACGATTCGATCTTGCCAAAGACTGAGAGCAACGGTTCAACCTGCAAATCTTTTGGATTTGGAATGTTTGCCAACATGACAAGCTCACTCTGATACATCACACTCTGACTCTGATTCTGATCCGCCCATCTCCCGGCTTGCTTGATCTGGCCTGTAAAACGTGCTGAATGTTGAATACCAATGGTGCAACCATGCACTTCCTGCTCGAACATGCCAATGTATACTGCATAACCATTCGAGCTTGTGCACTGTGCTTGCCTCGGGCAAACTTGTTGGATTCGAATCTCTCAACACTTTCTCCCAAAGGGAGGGCCGTAGCCTTGGACGCTCGGGCCCGAAAAACCACACAAGGGCGATTGCCAGGTGGCGATGACGGTCCAGCAACTGGAAGTCGTCGCGTGGCTGCTGAGCAAGCCAGGGATCTGCGCCCAGGTGCAGCCGTTGCCTCCCGAACCGGATCCGTGGAACATGTCCGACTTGGTTTCAAACCCGAGTCGCTGAACATAGCTATGACACTGAAACTGCTCACCTGAATGCGTCCTTTATGTTACCGCTTTGTGCCCCGTGACTATTCCCATTTGCAAATGTTCATAACCATAGGTGGCCTTTTGGAAAAGTAGATGGCCCTGCTAAATGGAATAAACTCCATCTAAACCAGTGCCATTTATTTTTAGCCAAACTATCCTAAAAAGGACACCTATGTTCACAACACGGTCCGCAAAGCTGGCATTGCCGTGCCTACAACTTTGGCCGGCAACAGGGCCAGCAACAGCAGCAGCGCCATGGCCATGGGGTTCAGAGCTCGGGGCTGCCTTACCGACAGCTGTCCAAACTACTAGAACCCTTTTTTCGGTCCAAACGCGCTGACGGAGCAAGCTTGAAGGCATGCAACAAATGGCATTTTCTGTGTGTGCGTGTTAAAATAGGAAATCCCGCAATGGCTTGCCGCTTTGGCCTCCATTTGGCTCCCCCAAGAGGGGACATGTCACCCCGAGCAATCAAATGGTTTCATGGCACCGACACCAACAATGCACAAATGAAATGTCGGCGATGGCTGCCTGCAGGTCCAACAGTTGGGGGTCATCCACTCAAAGAATAACGAGCCATGATCAAGGAGAGCTGCTTGGGTACCAAATATCAGTTTCTACAATTGAGTTCGTCATTCCATTTGCTGCCGCACTGAGCTCTCGACGCCAATCGTGTGTATCCTTCACTGTCGTTGCAGGTTTTGCCCGCCTTGTCGATATACAACATCTCCCACTTTGAGGTCTGAGCGAATATTGAGCCTGAGAACAGTGGCCTACTCTGTCAGAGCCCATTTGATATCGGCAGGGAAACGCTCCAACAAAAAAAACCATCGCTGCGGTAACTCACGAAGTCAATGAAACATGTGCCCAAATTGCTCAGGGGATGTCCAGACAAACCATGTCCACCCCACAAATTGCATTCTTGACTAAAACGATTCATGCTTTGGGGGTTCTATTCTGGCAATACATGCCAAGGTGTACATTCAAAACCCTCACCACACAAAATACTGTCATCTGACAGGCAATGCATTTCTCCGGATTTGTGGTTCTGGGGCCCAAGCGGCGGCCATTGACTTTGCTGGACGTGCTGCATCTGCTGCATTTGCGGTGGCACCTGCTGCATCGGCTGCACATGCTGCATCGGCTGCGCCTGTTGCATCGGTTGCTGCTGCATTGGCTGTTGCATCGGCTGCACCTGCAAATAAATTTCGAGTTGTTGGCCGTACTTTCGTGGAAATTGGGTGAGCATGCGACATGCAAACTTCAACAACCGTTGTTCCGCCTCGGTTTCAACAAAATTGAAAAACGGTTTAGGCCACATGTTCAGCACATGATCCTGGACAAACAAGTCTCCTTCTGTACAACCAAGTCTTGTTCATGACAGCACCTTCTGGCCGATTGTATGTGGACGGGCCGGGTTACCATATCTTACACGCACAACACAAATAAACTGTACGTTGCCGATTTGACCTGATCTCGCCCACACGGGCCGCACATCCAGGAAATTGCAAAACACAAAACAAAAACTAAATCCAAAAAACTCAATCTGGAAAACTCCTAACCTGGGCAGACTCAAGAACAACTAAGAAACAACTCAGAACAAACTCAGCCTTGAACTCGATCCCCCCCGCTCGAGTTTGAGGCTGAGTCGAGAGCTGAGTTTTTTCTGCGTTGTTTTTGAGTTATGTTTGAGTTTTGTTTGATTTTTGTGAGTGTTTTTTGGAGTTTTGGCTGAGGGGGCTGGTTGCCAGTGGAGGAAATCTGCAGTTTCCCCCCATGAAAACACAAAAAACAACTCAATAGAAACGCAGAAAAAACTCAGCTCCCGACTCAGCCTCAAACTCAAGTGGGGGGATCGAGTTCAAGGCTGAGTTTTTCTGAGTTGAAAGCTGAGTTATTTTTCCTTTTTTTCAAGTCGTTCCTTGTATTTTTCCGTGTTTTCGTTGTGTTTTTTCGAATATGTGTTTTCAGTTGAGTTTTTTGGCTGAGTTGCTTCTGAGTTTTGATTTTGTTGTTGTTCCGCTGAAACCTCTCCTGTCTGAGCCCGTCTGGTCATAAGTCTAGGGCCTCCAATTATCCTCACTCGCTTTTGGCAGATTTGCCGTCAAAGGCGCCAATGATGTGGATAATTACCTAACAATCAGCAACCCTGACCACCAGTGGCCATAGAAATAACCCAGGTGGCATCTCCAACAGCCCTGGAGCCCCCTGGAACCCTACGGAACCCTCCCCGAAAGTTGCCCCAAATCACCCCATATTTTTTTTGGTCATATTCGGCCAAAGACCCCATAGCTTTCATCTGTTGGGGAAATATGTTCTTTGATTTGACTTTAAATGGACACAATTAGAAAAAACAATCCGCTAGAGTTCTCGTAGACACAGCTCCACGACCATCACTTTTGGCAGTGCAGCCTCCGGCTGGGCTTGGCCCAGTTGAGGCTGCACATGTTGCAAAGGTTGGGGCACAATCGAGGAGGCCTGGCTCGATGAGACTCCCAACACAGCATGACCGTTCCCAAATAATGTGTTATATCAGCATGTGCCACCTGACCAGCATACCAATTGCCTCCTCCGAAAAATGAACGATGCAAATGGAACCTGCGAATTCCACGTAGAATGCAACATCAACACCTTCTTTAATTCCAGAAGAATAATCGAACAATTCAATACATAGGTACAGAACTCTTTGTAAAACGATTTATGTGTTCCCTGCATGTGGCATGATTGCAAAACCTGGATCCCCGGCAACAACAATGAAACCCTGTTTGAAATATCACGTTAATAGAACCACTTGCAGCAAATGTTGCAGATGGGCCTCCCCGGATTGTTCCTTGGGCACGTAGTACAACGCAGTGCGCCTGGCGAGTGGTTTGACAGCAATGCCAAATCCACAATCGAGCGTGGGGGTCGAATGGTTTTCGGTCAAAGTTCGCGAAGTGGATCGGACTTCAATATCCATGCTTGCCGAGGCACCCTGATGGGGCACGCAGCATGACCGGCACCAAATTTGCAATGGCATTTGCCGGCATGCCGTGTGCCGGCACGCCGTTTGCCGGCATGGCATTGGCCGGCATGGCGCTTGCCATGGCGTCACTCACGTCAGTTGCAGCCATGGACATACGGATGGCTCGGCATGCTGGATGTTGTGAGCACTTGAAAACTCATGGATTGGAGTGACCATTTGCGGTTGTGGTGTAGGGGTGCGCCAGGAATGGCATACTTGGGGCACGCATGTTTTTCCAGTAAAATTTGATCTGCCATGTCGTTTGGCTAACGGACTGGGAGCCGGAAAATTGTCCCATTGACAGCCATAAATTCGGTGTTTCAACTCAAGATTCACATGGTGTCCTGGATAGTGGGCAACGTGTAAGCACCATTCTTGGAGAAAATAAATAAAAACAAACAAGTTTTGAGTCTTTTCACGAAACATGTACTATACAAACACACAAAATCAGAACCGTTTTAGTCCAGCACCCTCACACTTTCGCAACTCACAAAGCCAACGATGGCCAGCGAAATTGAGGCCAGCACTGACCTTGCGAGTGCAACAGCGGCCATCTAAACCTGCCAGCGTGCATTTTCACCAGGCCCATTCTGCGGCGGTGCAATGAACAGCCATTCCAAAGTGACGCAACATCGCCAAGTTCCTGGCCATTGTGCCATCAACTGGCGGGCCTGAACATTGCCAATGTATTGCCAACTGCATGTTCCAAATTGACGCATTCCGATTTGTTGCGCCGCCCTGCCCCCCCCAAAGGCCAACATGATGGAAAACATCAAAACCTCCGAACGTCGTATGTTTTGTGGAATCGGCAAAGTAACGCAATGGGTCCCACGTAAAATCCCGCAAGTGGCCGGCGCCCGCCCAAGCTAAGGCCATGTCGGCCGGCGTGTTTCTCACGACCATGAAATGGTCGGAAATGTTGATTTTGCTGTGCCTGAGCAGTGCGGTGCCCCTCGAACGCTGTGCATCATTCCGCATGCACCTTGCCTGCTAAGGTCGTGTTCTCGCACAGGTTGGCCTCTCGCGAAAGCTCCAAATAGCCCTCGACATTGTCTCAATATGTTGCGCTCAACTTGGTGTGTTTTGGACATCACATTCGCGCAAGCCGAGGATGCTTCAGACATGTCTGCCATGGCTGGGAATGACAACTGCAGCCCGGCGTGACAAGGCGGAGGCGAAGAAAAAGAGCCGGCCAGCAGAAGCCTCGCCTCAGGCCCGAAAACACGCAAAGTGGAAACGGGCGCCCACACAGGTAGAAAAAGTGCAGTGCGCATGTTTTCTGTCAATTCAAGGCAGTCACATCCACACAAAACAGTTGATGGCAATCATATTTCTGCCAATGCTTGAGATGGTTGTCTTTGCCGGCTGTCTTTGTCGGCTGTCTTTGCCGTCTGTGAAACGGGATGCAAACAATGCAAACAAGCAGGTCGCCTCTGTGGGTGTTGTTGAGGGTACCCTCTGGTTTAAAGGGCAACCAAATAAACAACTAGGGAAACCACACATTTTGGAGTCTCCCTATTTTGACACACACACACACACCGCTCAATGGCTGACAGTACCATGGGACGCATTCTGCTTGGACTGCCCACCTGTCAAATCCTGCGCTGCGGGTGATCCCCGCGAAAGCCCTCCGCACGCAGCCGACACATGCAGGGACCTGAGGTGACACAAGGTCCCAGGAAGGACTTGCGCTGTGTGGACCTTGCCCATTGCCCGGCACCATCCTTGGGCCCCTGCCCTAGCAACCGCCTCTTCATGTTTTGCAACATCAGAACGGTGAACAGTTCTTTCGAACCACGTGACAAATGGCTCTAAGTAGATCTCGAGAATCAAGTGATAGCTTCCCTGAAAGGGGCAATCACGTTCTGCCCGAGCAGTGGCAAGCCCGTGGAAACTAAGGCGAAGTCCTAGAGGCGTCGCAGCTCAGTGGCCTGAGGCTGGCCCCGGTAGTTGGTGTACACACTGAAGCTCACCATGTCCTTAGGGATTTGAAGAGGGCGGAAAACGTCGGATTCGGAAGGTTTCCGTTCACCTGACTTGGAGGGTGCCTGCGGGTTTTCGAGGGAATGAGGGATGTAATGAACAACGGGGAACCATGACAAAACACTTGGATGTTCAAATAGTACTTCGACAAAAAGTACGCAGGAGGCCAACTATTGCAAATGCAGGCAACAGTGTCGCCACGCTTGAAGTGTCTCTTCTGGTTCAGGTGCAGGAAAACGTCCAGATCGTTAAATCTTTTCTTCAGCTCCTCATTCCTCAGCTTCGGATTGAACTTTCTCGCGGCATAAGGGTATAGACCGCAGATTCCATCGCATCCCGACCCTCCCACCCATTCGCTAGTTTGTTCATCTAACCCCCCAACCTCGGGAAGCATAATGTCACCACTGATCGAGCACCCGCCCGCCAAATGCATGCACGGAAGCTTCTCTTCCAGCAAGTTTGTTCGCTGGGTGCCTTAAAGTGATTGCCTTTTGGGAGTTCAAACTGCGATTACTTACTTCTGGGTGTGGGAAACCCTTTCAACCACCATTTGGAGAGACATGTTGCGGATGGATCTAGCGGTACCAAGGGGAAACTATACAATGGACGGACAGTGACCTGCACCAGGGCTTCCTTCCATCCCAACTGGTGCCGATGTGCGTGAACGTATCAATTTGGGTGTGTCTCAAAATCTCTCAAAATGGGGCAACCCACAAGATCTTCTTTTTGCCTGTGGCTTGCCTTGTCAACCCAACACAACATCCATGGCTCGAGATGAAGCCATAGCCCTTATCCTCGAACCACATCTTGATGCGCCCTTCCCAGCGCCGGTCCGTGATCCCAGGGATGGGCTCCACATCCGGCGGCCGGTAGTTGGGGTGGTTGATGTTGGAGGATGGCCCCGGAGGGATCTCGGATGTCATCCGGCGGAACAGAAAACCGATGTCAAGCGCATCCCAAAAACATGTGACTGGAACCTGCAACAGCATCCTCGGGTTTTTGTGCCCTCAGTCTTTATAGTTGGAAAATGGGGCGGTGAAGGTTCCCATGCTTCTATGCTTTGCCAACATTGGCCGTTGAATGAACTAGTTTCTCTGACACGTCTTTTCCCGCTGGCCGCTGGACAATATGCCGGATTGGGCAGTGTGTCTTACAATTCTTCATCATGGCCCCGATTTGGCGTCCTGGAGGGTCGGCTCGATAGCTTTAGGCTCTGTTTGGGATTGGTACTTGTTAGTTTAGGGTTTGGGGGGCGGTGTTGGTTTAGGGTGGATGTCGGCTTCCTTGAGAGTTCGTGTAGACTGGCATTGGGGCCGTTCAGGGTGGGATTAGTGTGGGGTTAGGCATTAGGGCGGGTGTTGGGTTTGTTTCAGGGAGTTCAAGTTTCGGATATTCTTTAGGTTGGTCAAGGAAGTGATTTGGACATGGCCGGGTGGAAATCCAAACATAAAAAGCCACAGCCATCCTCGCTCAGGTGCAAGCCAAAGCAATGGCCTCAAACAATAGCCTGGAGCAGCGGGACAATGAGCGGTTCGATGTTCAAGTGTCTACCCAAAAGTGAAGGCTCGACTCTAAAACATTCTAAAACTATGGTGTTTGGGTTTTGATCATGGGTTCCCATTAGCTTAGCTCAAAGCATCCCAAAAGTTTGTTTGCTCCATCATGGAGAAATTGCCAAGGTTCCTGCTGATTCCGGATACAAACCCCTGATGGTGCCTGTGGCAAACATACTTTTTCCAGGAGTTAGGACTTGAAGAGGCCCGTTCGCCCAGCTGTTTGCGGCCGAGGAACGTCATCCTCCTCTGGCTTCCCCGCATCGGGAATGCCAGGTCCGGCTACCATGCCATCAGGGCTGGGCATCATCTGACCCATCATTGCCCCCATCATCATCATCTGATTGAACATGCCCATCTGCATCATGTACTGCTGCTGCATCATGTCCATGCCATTGCTGCAGCCACCACAGCCGCCGCAACCGCGACAGCCGATACAGCCGCCGCATCCGCCGCAGCCACATCCGTCACAACTGCCGCATCCGCCACAACTGCCGCATCCGCCACAGCTGCCGCACGCGCCACAGCTGCCGCAGGCGCCACAGCCGCATCCGCCACAGCTACAGCTGCCACAGCCACCAAAGTTGCCGCAGCCTCTGCAGGCGCAGCCGTTGCCGTTGCAAGGCCCGCTGGTCGGCGCTGCGGACGTTGCCGAGGCCGGCAAATCTGGCGCCACAGATTCCGCCTCTGAGCGGGGCCGCTTTCGGGGCGGAAGGCCCTGGTCGACCATGGCGGGCGCCAGCACCCCTCAGGCGCGGCGCTAAGTCATTGGCAAAGTATGGCGAAGTGTTGCTGTCAGGTGATGCTCAACTCCAAGAGCCAGCATAAGTGAGGCTGCCAAAGCACTTTAGAAAGTGTGTCTTGCACATCAACCGTTTTCAGAGCCTGGCAAGGTCGCAGCGTAAGCACGATGGCAGCGGAGCAAACGTTGAAGCGCCATGTCTCAGCTGTCACGAGCATGGGCGACTCGGCTTCTTGCCGAAAATCATGCGAGTTCGCCAGTTCGCAAGCGAATGCCTTTTAAGCTCTATGCGTCGGCCAAGGCTGGTGCATCTCTCAAGAGATCAATCACAGGAAAATTGAGATCTCCGGGAAACATCTGAAAGCCTATGTATCTAGGCAAAGTCCTTGGAAAACCGCTCCGCCTTTGGATCGTGAGCACACTCTCCACGGATGCTTTTGGTGGATCAGGGTCTTTGGGCTTGCTGATGAAGCGCTTTAGCCCCTCCTCCAAAGGGACGGAGGCGATGATTGCTTTCATCTTTCCATCTCGGTCATCCTTGACGTCAACATGCACTACTGCACCGGCTTCGGATGTGAACTTGCTGATGTCAGGGATGCTTAAAGCCTTGCCCGCAAGGTCACAAATCGCGAAGCCCTCCGCTGAGGAGCTCTGAAGGTTTGCGGCCAGGTTGGCCAAGTATGCCTTCCTTAGATGGGGCAATGGTGCAAGCAACTGGCCAGGTTGCACATGAGCCTCACCTGCTCAAATGGCACTCCATGTCGTGTCGGCTTACAAGTCTTACTCTGACATGTGCTTGCCATGCGGGACTGGAGCCTCAGAGAGGCCTTAGGCAGGCAACTGATCCAGCACTGCGTAGCGGATCTGCGCTTTTGGCGGAGTTGTGCCCTCCTGCAAGTGGCGCCACTTGCAGGTTGCCAGCTGCTGAAAGGAGCCGTTCCTCGGAAAACAGCTGTGCCAATGGCTCGAAGGGCACTTCTAACTTGAGAAACAAGAACATTAACACACGACTAAACCCAGAGAAGCACCCTCTGGTGTCGCGGGTGCAGCTTGCAGCCAAAGGTCACCTGCAGCTGCAGCACTGAAGTGGGAGATGCAGCTCGCAGCCAGGCTGCCAAAATGTCTGGCAGCAAGTGCTGCAGCAGTTGCCGCACCTGGAAGACTGGTTGTTCAAATTGCGCGGATCACGACTTCCCCATTTTCTGTCATCCGTGGTGGCAGAACAAGGAAAACCACTACTCACTGACTCAAGGATCTTGCTGATTTGCCGCTTGGAGATACGCTGCCTTGATAAGGCATTTTGCTTTGAACCCAGCCGCTTCATGGAAAGCCGCGGCGACAAGGCATGCCAAAAGGACAAATCATATCATTGGCTCGCTGCAGTGAGGCATAGCCTTCAGGCTTCCAAATAAATGAACCAGTCAATCCCACCATGAGGACAAAATCCACAAGGGATGGACGAAACCCTGTGAATACTGGCTGATAAGCAACCTGATGGTGCAGGATTTTGTCCATTCACTGTACGACAGCCACGTGGAAAAGCTGAGCTGCTGAGTGCCGAACCGACACGGCGACGGACTCTTTACTTTACTTCTTTTCGGACGCGTGGAACAAACAGGAGCCGGCGACGTAGAACGGCTGGACATGGGGAACGTGTCCGTTACGCGCATGCGCGGCGCACTGCAGCACGCCCGCACGCGGGGCGCGCGGCTGCCGCGGTGTGGAGCACGGACATACGCGCGCTTGTCCGTATGCTCGGGAAAGGCTGGTTTACGCACGGCGAGGAGAACTCTGGCGCACGGTGTTTTGAAGTCAGGAAGTGCACATGTAAATCCATGAGCATCAGCTCAGCTCCTGAAGCTGGGCGCCATGAACCAAAGTTTTAGTCAGGTTGAGTTCAGATTTGTGGAGTTTGAGCGCAAAAACCATGTCCCAAAGCAGTTTTGTTTAGTGAGAACGGTGTGACCCATGGTATTGGATTGTTGTTGCAGGATGGGGGATCACTCATTAGAAGTGTTTGTTTGGCGTGTTTGCTGGTGTCATTTCAGCTGGTCGTGGGACAGGAGCACCGAGGCGGGCTCACCTACAGGGAAGATGATATGTCACCAAATGTGTTGCTGTAGTTTGGCATGTGCCCCATGTGAAGTATGTGAGATTTTTCAAAGCACGTTGCCAAGTTACTCGGCTCACGAGGGCAAATGTTGAGGCGGAATTTCTTCGTGAAGATGCACGGCGGCAGCAGAGGCACTACATTTTCGCAGTTTTTGGCTTCGTTGCCCTCTACAAGATATCAACCATGCTGGCGTCGGTAATGACATGGCAGATGTGGCTGCTCCACCATGGTGTGGCAGCGCTGATGTTGCTCATCTCGCGCATTGCAGCGAGTCAACCTGCAGCTATGTGGGTGGATTTGTTTTTACAATTTTCTCATTTTTCATGATCTTTTACACTAGCCGGGTGTACGAAAACCTCATTTCGCAGAAGCTGCTGCCAACTGACGCCGCGGAGGTCAACTTATTGTGCGCATCCGTCTTTAATTCCCAGGTCATGGTAAGTATGGGAAACCATCCTGCCGTGCACGTTGCATGGATCCTGGCTGCGCTGTCTGCATGCTGGACGACCACCAACCCACACCTTCAGGTGGACATCAAGATTGTTCTCCTCGTGGGTTTTTCCATGCATGCCTTTACACATCACTCCCAGATGCGTCTGAGGGAGAGACGCTTGGAATGGGAGGCGAGCTCAGACGCATTCGAAAGCGAGAGGCCAGGGCCCTGTTTCGTTTCCAGCTTGCAACGATTGGCAAACACTAAAAAACTGCTCAGCTCGACGCGTCGATTTTTCAGTTGTAGTTTGATTTGAGTTGGGGCTTGAGACGCGTCAAACCTGCAGGAGCACCAGCAAACGCAAAAGCTGGAGGCAGTTCGCCGGAGGGAGCAGATGGAGCGGACGGTGGCCCTCGTTTTCAACCAAGTCAAGGCTCCGTGCAAAAAGGGAACCCAGCAATTCAGTTTCAGCCCGCCACAACAGCCTGGTGTGAATATATTTTGTTGTTCCTTGGTGCGTCCAGAGTTCGCAACGCGTTTGCAAGGCGCCTTTGCTACTCGCCTTTGCTACGCGCCTTTGCTATTCGCTGAATTCGCACAGGATGCCTTCAGGTCGCCAGATGGCAAGTCTTTTTACTCCCTGCCAGGTTTTGATGGCCTATGTTGCAATGAGAATAAAGTTTCAGTCTGATTCACGCTTGCCTCCAAGGCTCCTGGAGACCTGTCAGATGATTCACCCAGGCAGAGCAATGCCGAGGGTTTCCTTCAATCAGGACGGGTGATGGGCTGCGCACACGCTTGCACAGGCACGCGCGCGCGTAAGTAGTTTCATTCTTGCCCAACTACGTGGGCGCGCCCTGACGCACGCTTCCCTAATGCTGCCGAAGCGCCCAATTCGCGGAGCACAGTGGAAGACGTGAAGCACGGTGGCACGCGCGGAACGCGGTGGTTGCGCGGGAAGCGTGTCGCCGCTCAGCCCCTGTTTCGGCGTGCATTCTCCATTCTGCGCGCGCGGCGGACCTTTTTTGAACGAAAAGTGCTTCAAGAACGGAGGTCTGCGTGACTCGGCAAAGTGCCGCGCCTGTGCATCAAAGGCGCCACCCGACCCATTCCCATACAAGTAACTGCGACCCGACCAGCCTGCTGGAAGGGTTCTGCTTGCTGCATCTTCTCTGTCTTCTCCAGCTCTTTTTGCCAGTCCTGCGGAAGCAGCCTCTGCCTTGCAAACTGCTCATCCTGGATCTGGACGCATGATGTGAGGACATGGGAATCAAATCCAAGAACTTCAGCAGTTGATGAGCTCGCCAAGTAAACAACTTGAGAAAGGCTGGCACCGTTCACCTCAAGCAAAGCCTCTTCCAGGCTCATTCGGGAAACCATCCATGCAGCCAAGGCATGCTTCATTGCTGAAATCCAGGTTTACCGTGGTCCACTTGGTGGCACCAGACTCTGTCCCTGGCCGCCCTGGCCATCAATCTCCCTATCCAAAGGTGAGTGACAGCTACATGATGCCAGCTTCCCACATCTCCTTGTTCTCTGGCTCCAGCTTCTGGCCAGTGGCAAAGGCCACCAGCGCTTGCTCCAGGTGCCCCAGCTGCCGCCAGCAGCAGCCCAGGCGAAAAAAGCCTCGGGCTTCACTTTTGGGCGCGACCGGAGAAGCGGCTGGAGCTCCTTACTCTTTCCAACCAACATGGAAGCTAGCACGAGGGTTTTAAAAGACCTTCCTTCTGCGGAAGCCCCCTGCCCACTTCCATCATTGTTGAAAGAGGGTGCCCCCCTGAGAAATCAAGCCATCCTGGACCTGTCTTGCACGGATCGAAGCTCATTGCAGGTGCCACTTCCTTTTTTTGCATTGCAGCCACTCAGATTGCCGAGGCGCCTTTGGGCCACTGGGGCCCCAGTTGGACGCTTCGCAGCGCATCCTGCAGCGCCTCCGAAGGAAGGCCCAGCAGCAGCCGCGCGGCGCAGCGGTTGGAGAACAGCGCTACGTCCGGGTCGGCTGAGACCTGGCGAAGCGAACCTTATACAAAAAGAATATGCCTAGGAACCACAAACCACCTGCTTTTCCAGAGGTCCCCTAGATCAGCTGGAGTGTGCGTGTGCGTGTGCGCGTGCGCGCGTGCGCTTGTGCGCGTGTGCGCGCGTGTGCGCGTGTGCGCGTGTGTGGGTGGGTAGGTGGGGGGGTGGGTGAGTGGGTGGGTGGGTGGGTGGGTGGGTGCGTGGGTGCGTGGGTGCGTGGGTGCGCAGGTGCGCAGGTGCGTGGGTGCGTGGAGTGCGTGGAGTGCGTGGGTGGGTGCGTGCGTGCGTGCGCGTGTGTGTGTATATTGTGTATTGTGTATATTGTGTATTGTGTATTGTGTGTATATGTGACACACCTTGGAACACAGTTTTTTTCACAACTGCGAAGATAGTGATGGCTTGATCCTGATATTCGGAAGGGACGCTCTCTGAGCGTACCTGCAAAAAATGATTGCTCGGCTTGCTTGTGTTCTGTGTTGCTTGATCTGTTGACGATCTCTGCTTCGAGCATCTTCCTCTTGAGAGAGTGTGTCCGAATGTCCTCACAAAAAAAAAAAAAAAAACAATTATTCAGCTTGAACATGATAGTGGCTTGCTTCTGCGAAAGTGTCTGTGTGTATGTGCGCATGTTGGCTGTTGCTACATGCCGCATGCCACATCAAGCGCAAACTACGAGAGCGCTGGAAAACGAAATGTAGGAAGCAAATTTAGTAACCCAAAATGAACGAGTAATGGCCAAGCAACATCACGCAACTTTACGGAAGGGATACCTGCATGAACTCCAATTCATATCTGCTCACGTTGCATGCGATCAGTTCTTCCCACTGTATACCCCGCATTTGTTGGCGTGTTGCTGTGAAACGTTCGGGCACGCGTCTGGCAAGCAGTTTGTCTTCAACAGAGCCGGGATGTGGACTGCACACGCCGACCAATCGAGCTGTCCAGCGTCGTGGCCGCACCCTGGAACTCCCCTTGCCTGGATGGCCTTGCTGTAGTGCTCCACAGCCTTAGCCAGAAAGATTCTCGCAGCCTTCTCTGTCTGCCAGTCTCAATGTGACCCGATTGGAGAGCTTCTTTCTTATCAGAATCCAAGGTGAATATTTGAGAACATCCTCTGAACGACGTGTCGGGCAGGCATCGAATTGCGTGTCCGATTTTTGCCGACTTCCGGAGAAATAGAAAAACAAACACTGCAGCACACAGGCCGCCTTAAATCGATGCATGTGTGCCAGCTACAAAGTCACTTTTACCAGCTGACTTTGACCGGATTCCGTTTGCATGTTTTGGATGTACCAGAAACCCTACGTGCCCGGCGCCAAGTTGCCTCGTTTGCCAAGGGGCGCCTTGGTAGTTCTTCTGCTTGAAGGCCTCGCTGCCCTTGGCCTTCTCCTCAGAAGCCACCTGACATTCACCCATCTGCCATGAACCTTGGGCCACCTCAAACGTGGCTGGCGGACAAGGGGTCCCGAAATAAAGTTCGCAGATTTTCACAGCCTGCTAACCCCTCGAGCTCCCCACATCAAAGGGGGCCACCAAAACGCATGTATGCATGAAAGGTATGCGCGTGTATTAGGTGCTGGTAGGTAGGTCAGCGAGGTAAGAAGGTAGCAGGAAAGAAGATAGGCAGGTAGGAAGGTAGGGAAGCGTCGTGTAGGCAGGCTAGCAACTCTGTAGGCTTGGCTTATCGGCTTGTAGATGTTATGCGCGTAAGTGCGCAGAGGTACGGGGATGTAAATGTGCAAATAGGTAAGTGAGCAGGCGGCAAACATGCAGTTTCGCACATGTATGACAACTTCTGTTTCGGCCCTCCAGCTTTCAATCAAGATACAAGTCTGTGTGAGTGCTTTGTTGAGGCCAACCTTTCACCTTGGGTTTAACTAACAGGGAAACAAACAGGAAAGCAACTGCTTTGCTATTTTCCGCTCCCTTGACACACGCGAACGCACTCACAAAGTGATTGGTTTGCTTTGAATCACCTCAATTTCAGTTTCCAACAAAGAAAAAAACACTTTTGAGGGGACACAAGACGGAGAACCACCACTCTGGGGTTCCCCTATTTTGAGTCAAGCCCGGTCATTGAGCACCTGCTGCCAGCCCTCCTCCGGGGCATCCGTCCACTCCTTCGGCAATGATGGCTCCACGCCCTGCGGAGGCGCCTGGCCGACTGGCGCAAAGTGAGCTTTGTCCATCCACAGTTCTAGTGCTACCTTTTCCATTCTTTCCAGGGATCCTTCTTTCTAGAAAACCTCCGGAAACTTAGAAAGAATGGGGAATCAACCCTTAGAAGAGCAGCACCTGTGGGAAGGTGCGCGGAGAACAAAACATCTCCGGTGTGCCATGGCAGCGTGGATGATAAGCTCGTTTCACCGCAGAACCAGTCAGCTGGAAAGCTACAAAAGAGGCACCGAATATGTGCCCGCCAAGCCCGCCTGAACGCCAAGAAGCTTCAAGCCACTCATCAGCCTCTGCAGCTGATGCACGACAGTGTCCTCCGACATCTCAACCAGTGGCTTCGCTTCCTGTGCCGCGCAGTACTGCTTCAACTGCTCCTGGGTCTGGAAAGATCAGTGGGTGTTCAAGGTAAGGGACGAAGCGTGTTGTTTCAAAAATTTGCTCACACTACTTGAGCCTTTGTAGCCGGTGAGCATGGTACACAAGGTCGGGAATTCAACAAGCCCTCGTCCACGCTGTTAAGACTCTTCTCGGCTGCTTCTTCTCGACGTCCCTCCAGGCTGTTCAATGACAAGAGTTGGCCAATCCTAATCCATATTCCCCACTGTTGACTGTAGGAATCCCTAGAAGGTAACCACAAAGGGGACTCGTCCCAAACCAAAGCTGCCCAAGCTGCTGTTTTGGAAGCTACGGCATTCGCTTCTTCTGCGGCACCCTCTTCTTGAGGCTCTTGCTGGAGCTCCTCAGGCATTCGATCTCTGGAAAACAAAACACCTGTCAACATCCGTCCGCGTAGTGTCCCAAACAAGGAAAGACACCTGAACAACTTTTAGGCGCAGCCCCAAACATGCTTTAGAATTGATGGGGCGTCCTAGCGACATTGGATTTGACCTTTGATTTAGCATTACTGGGTTTGAGTTTCCGTTTTATGCAGCATCGCTGGCTTCAAGTGTTCATTTGCTTAAATGTATTGCTGGGTGTGAGTTTGTGAGTCTGAAATTATATTCGATTCAGCATTGCTGCATTTTGAGTTTCCGTTCGATTATTGAGCAAAGTCTGCATTTGACTTTGTATTGCCGGTCTAGGTTCCTGGTGATTCGGTGTTCCTGGGTTTAAGTTTCCAATTGATTCAGTATTGCTGGGTCTGACCTTCCGTTTGACTGCGTATTGGTTTGCTATTGCTGAGTCTGAGTCTGAGTTTGCAATTGACTTGGTTCCTGGGTCTGAGCTTCCAATCGATTGAGTGTTGATTCAGTATTGCTGGATCTGAGTTTCCATTTGACTTGCTACTGCTGGATTTGAGTGCATTGGATTTAGTTGCTGGGTTCGAGTTACCTAGTATTGCTGGGTCTGAGGTTGGCTTTATGTTTGATTTAGTATTGATGGACTTGAGTCTTGAGTTCCAATTGATTCAGCATCAGTATTGCTGGATCGGAGATCCCATTCAATTCTGCTTCAGCTTTTGGTACTCATTTGATTCAGTGCGGCTAAGTTCCCCTTTGATTCAGTATTGCTGGATCTGAGTTTCCACTTGATGTGGCATTGCTGGATCCAAGTGATTTAGATTTGCTGGGTCTGAGCTTCCATTTGATTCGTATTGCTGGGTTTAAGCTTGCGTTTGATTTGGTATGGCTGTGTGTCAATTTGATTTCGTATCGCTGGTTCCGAGCTTCCGCATGATTCAGTATTGCTCGGTCTGAGTTTCCAATTGAAATGATTGTCCTGGGTCTGAGCTTCCATTTCATTTAGTATCGCTGGGTCTGAGTTTCTGGGCCTGCTTGCATTTGACTTGGTATCCGGTTTGAGTTTCCATTTGGTTCAATTTGAGCTTCCAATTGATTTAGTATTGCAAGCCCAGGAAGGGGGAAAAAGTATTCATTACGGGTCTCCGATTCATCTGTGCCTTTGCGACTGTTACAAAAGCACTGTTGTAATGTTGGAGCTGCCCTGGCTTGAACGTGGGCTTTCAAAGACAAGTCTTGATGCCCTCATCAATGGCCTTGTTACATTGATGCTTTGCGTTTTCCTGTAACGTGTGTCAAAGGCCTGTCAAGCTTTCGATCTTTGGAGACATTCGGTGCATTGATCGAACTCTTCGGCCTGGAAGCGCCTAAGGAAGGACGCCGTTGAGAACTGCAAAGCGTCCAAGGCATCCACGGCTTCGCGGAGGGGCAAATGGCCGTGCTCCCGGCGGATGATATCCGTGCGGTCCGGCGAGCGCACGTCCTCCACCCGGGGGGAGGCCCGCTGAACCAAACGTCGAAGGTCAGGCAACGACATGGCGGCCCGGGATCGGCAGAGGGATCGGTGCGTGGGGGAATTTCTGGCAAAAACCAGGACAGGTGTCAGGCCTAGTGGTGGCCTCTGCAAAAACAATCAAGTTGAATATGGGCTATTGGAATATTCCTCCCGCCACCTGGCAAGCGATATCGGGGGCGGGGATAAATGCAAACTGTCATGGCTCATGCCCATCTCTGAGTCCAAACTCCGGCGGCGTCACATCACCAATCAAACTGCCTTGGGCTTTTCCACATGAACTTGCCACAGGTTTGGTGCGAGTCGAATACGCCATTGCAGTGCAGTTGCACGAAAGAGCCATGGATTCAGCGAAGCAACAATATTAATTAATATGAACGCAACTCATGCTCCAACATTCTGCTCGGCGTGTGCCAAGAGAAGCAGCTGTTGTTGATTGTGGGGTTCAGCATGGGGTTGCATACTGGCCATTGCTGATATGATTGCAGTGACGCGCATGGCACCCAAAGTAAAGCATGGACTCATGGGCCAACGTCGCCGCATGCTCCTCTGTACATGGCCACCTCATCGTCCAAGGTTTCCCTTGGAAAGGCCACAAAGGGCATCCCCTGTTTTCCACACCAGGGGCCAACAACGTGAGATGGGCTCACGGCTCACGGCCCCACAGCGCCCGCTAGGCATAGATGGGGCACCCAACGGCTGCCACCACCGATCCAGGAGCACCCCAGCCACGCGCGAAGACCCCGGGGTCATTGAAGCGTCGCCCACGCCTGCATCCCAAGCCAACTCCTTTTCGGGTAACAAACATAAGCCCAGTATAGCGCTGGGCAAACTCGCCGTACAATGCTTTACTCTAGGCATCTTGTGCGTGTTGGGTTTGCCTGCTTAATATAATTGCATGTTCTGACATGTTCTGCAGCTAGTCCCTCGAACCATGTTGGTCAAGCTACACTCTGATTCAAACCTACGGCAGCTGCAACTTTGTCGCATTTCAATCTCGGCAAGCACTACATATGGGTGTGATTTAAATGTCTTCTGGGCGGTCCCAGAAATGTCCAACAAGGTCCGCAAACATGCACATACACATTCGTGCCCAGGAACTCCAACTTCCGCACTTGTTGCATCTCCTCAGCAGAGAGCTCAAAGCCGAAGACATCCAGATTCTCCTTTAGTCTCTCCACACTCCTCGGGACACTTGTCAACCAAGTGTTGTTCTCTCTTCTGACTTTAGCGACTAACCACCAACGCACACACACACACACATTGAATTCACAAGCACCGCGCGTGTTACACCGAACGGGTTCCGGCCATGATCTGGGGATCTGGGGAGCAGAAGATTGCCAGCCATACTTGCGGACCCTGGATAAGAGAAAGGACATGCGCTGGTAAGCAAACAAAGCAACATGTCGCCAGTCGCGGCCACTCCGTCAGTCAACAACCTTCAGCAATAGGTCCGACGCGGCTGCTGTTCTCATGGGCTCGGAGATGCACAGACAAAGAAGACAATTATGGACGTTTCACTGCAGCTTCCATAGCATTTCCAGATGTTGCACAGCCAACGCATCTCTCACAAAACATCTCTGCGTGCAACTTTGACGATGCATCCTGTCTGTCATTGCCGCTGCAGCTCTTGCCGCGTGGATCCAAAACTGAATGCGACAAGGAAGTGTGTTCAGCTCTTCTGTGTTTAGCCCGCAAAGCAAACAAGAACATCAAACCAACTAATGTTCCTCACACCGCAACTCATCCGACGTCTGCACCGCGCTTCGAACATCTTCAGCACATGTCATAATGTCTTGCAGCTCGTATATTTCTAGCAAGCTCTTTGGCAAACTCTGCAAGCCTTGCAATGATGACAAGTCCCCGAAAACAACGAATGAATTCCAACACAGAAAGAACATGTTGAATGTTGGTTCTTTGCCGGGTCATCACCTGTGCCCCCTCTGAACCGCTCGAAGGCCTCTTCCCCAAAGTGGCTTTCCACGAATGCTAACTGATCCGATGGCATCGGACCATGCCTGAGGGACACATTCGCAACAGGGAACCCTTCTTGGGGTTGACCTTTTTTGGAGGGTCCGGAGATGGTCCGGAGATAAGCAAGGGACTCGAAGGCTGAAAGCCGGCCTTGCGTGCAAGCGTCTGGCTCTTAGGCACCACCGAGCAACCGCGCTGCACCAGGAACCTGAGAATGATCTGACCTCGAAGCGTGAACGGGAGACCCCAAACCGTCCAATGTTCCGTCACAGGGCTCCTTAAACGATGCGTCCAAAACCAACCTGATGAAAACACAGCTGGCAAACCTGCCCTTTAAACTAGCTGGCAAACTTGGCCTTTAGTCCAAATGCATCCTTCAAGAGCCCATAGTCGGATGCCATTACTAGGGGGATCTGCTTCTCAAAAATATTTCAGCATGCCAAGCAAAGGACATTCAGGACCTCAGAGTCAAGCTGATCCGAGAGTTGCACACTGTCCTACGGGTGCCGGTTTCCTGATGCTCGATATGCTGACTCAGGATCTTGCTCAAATCGGTCCAAGGTACCATGTTTTCAGCTCCTGGGGAGGCAGCACAAGCAACAGCTGAGCTGAGCAAGGACATCAAAACAGGGAATTGCCTGCTTCTGTGATGCATATATTAAAAGGCTTGAAGGTTGCCAACAGGTTCCTTTGCATCAAGCCGGAACCTTCTCACAACCCTGAAACCAAAGTAACGTGAACAAACGGCCAACAATGGCCAATAGCCATGGTCAAAACGAAGCACATTCATTGTGGCATGTTCATGTTTTGTGTGCCAACCCCCTCCTCTTTGGGTGCATGTTTAGGGCTTAGGGTTTTCCGCCGCCAATGGTGTGGGAACCAATCCGGCGCATCTGGACAACTGTCTGGATTCATTGAAGTCGCATCCGCAACATCGATTCTGCAAAAAGGAAGCCATCCCGAAAGCTGTTGCTTCCCTTGCGAGGGCTTCTCACAATGAGAAGCCCTCACAAGCAGCATAGCTTCCCTTTCTAGAATTGGTAGCAACCTTTGCGCTTCTAGGGTATCAGAACCACAAGCGCTATTTAATTGGGGAACCTATTTGGAGTCCAACTTGGTCCAGGTGCCCACAGACTTCTGGTGCTTCGCGGCCAGACCTTGCAGCAGGACCTCGTGAAAGCAGTCCTCCTCCGGCGCCGCCAGGCCGATGGACACGTAACTCTTCCTGAAAACCGGACAGCTGGAGTCCCGTTGGCCGCGGGAACTTTCTGAGGTTTTTTTTTTGGGGGGGGGGGAAAGGGGATTGTTTGGCAGTTTGTAGGATATGTTTGGGCCAGCTCACACCAAATACCTGATTTCGAGGATCCAAACCCTGGCGGCCCGGGCAAGTGGTTGTATGTATCCTTGATTGAGCCCTGTCCAAAGCTTGGGGAAGAATCTGCCTGCAAAGCATGCCAAAGGAAACCGAGTTCAAGGTACAAAAGACACATGGACCCGGAAAAAAATCAGACACCTTCATAAAGATTGGGTCACAGGAGAAGTTTGCAAGGCATCCAATCCAACATCTCCTGACCTGGCTTGCCGAATGTAGCTGGCATGTCACATGCATCCATACCTTGAAGGTCGAATGCCAGCCAGAGTCTTTAATACGTCGTTTTTGCTCAGGAGCTTTCATAAAAAAAAAAGTCTCTCCTGTGCGGAGCGTTGCTTAGTGTAGCATCGCCCACAAAAAGGTACCTCCTTGACACTGGACTGGGCTTGTTCTTGTCTGGCTCTTATTCAAAGTTGCTACCAAGCTCAAGCTGCAGGTACCTGGCAGCGATGTTACAAGGCACAATGAAAGGTGCCTGAAAGTTGCGAGCTGCAGCTCTCAAAATGGCATGCCCCGTCAGAGTTTTGCGCAGCCAAGTCTGTCTGCACACCCGTAGCACTGCCTTCGCTTTCTCATCAACATCGTTCAAAACGCGCGCGCGCGCATGAGGGTCGATCCATTTAGCAGCTTTGCGCATGCTTGCGCCAGACTGATTGCTTGGAGCTAGCGGAAAGTGAGCCATGTGCATTTTTCACACTCTCCCCAGTCAAAAAGGTACTGCCGTTTTGGACTGCCCTTTCTGATTGCAACTTTCTGAATGGAATGCCGGACCTCTTGTCGCTCGGCAACCAGGTGCGTGGCGCAATTGCTGTTTGGACTTGATTGGGATACTGCCTTGCATCAAGGAGACACACTACTTGCATGTTCGCGACGCAACAGCCATGGGGTGGAATGCCGAAGCGACTCCTGCAAAGCGAAGTCCTGCTGTACTTACACCGCGCACAAACAACACTCACACACCACACAATCTACATGTTGAGTCAGCCTTGCTTAGTGTGTGTGTGTGTGTGTTTGACTTGTTCCGCACTGCACCTTTTTTTGCTGTCAGCGGGCAAAGCATGCCTGCGACGGACCACCGTCTCCAGAAAGGAGCCGGAGCAAACGAATCGCAAACTGAATGCTTTGTTGATCCGGGCCGAAGAGTTTCTTTCGATGGGACAATCTTTCCGATCTCCCAGTGTGAAAAGATATCGCTGGCCACCGAGGAACGCCAGCAAACACGTGGAAAGTGACCCCATGGTCGCAAATGGCCCCCCGTCGTTTTCCGTGGAAGCTCTGCCATCTCTGCCCCTGTGCCAGGACTCGCGCCGAAGGGTGAGAAGCAGGTGACCCCAATGCCCTGCTGGATGCAGAATTGGACTAGGTCTGGCTGCTGCAAGTAGACGTGGCTCTCAATCTGGTTGACAGCTGGCCGCGTGGCGCCGGCGATTGGCATATGATTTCATGGCGCAAACCCAAACACAACTCCCAACATTTTTGTACAAACATCCAAGCAAGAAAACAGCCGGCATTGGCCTCCGAACATGATCAAGAATGGGGGCCGGGCATATCTGGGCGCTAAATGAACCACGTCAGCTTTGTCCTTCCGAATGCCTTGACCCATTGGCTATTCCTCAGAATCAACCCAGCGCCTGGCTTCACCCTACAGTAGGAGAGCACATCCATGAGGCTCTGCACTGTTAGGTTGCTGACCCCGATGTGCTTGGCTTTCCCCAAGTCCTCACTCGCAACATCTTCAAGCATGGACAGCAAAGCGATTCCATGAAAGCCGCGGATCAGGACCAGTAAAGAGGAGGGTAAACGTCTATGTCGGAAGCAAGGCGTAAGAGATCTCTCGGGTCAGTGGAGTCCATGTTGACTGCGCGCTATGGAGCTGAGCTCTTACCTCTCAAATCCGCATAAGACTCTGTGTTGCTCATCATGGTGAACCATGCAGAAAAAACGCAATTGGTCTCTTTGGGGCCTGCATTTTGGGTGCCCACAAATCCAGGTGTGCAAAAACCCGCATTTGTTGGCATGTCTGGTTGCTTCAGGATTCAAGGATGGCAGGTGCTGCATCCCCAGCAGCTCAGCATCATCGAGGTCAGTCTGAGTCTAAAGAGTTTGAATTTTGCGCATGTGCGGCTGTTTCAGAAGGTGTTGGGCATTTTGGGCTCTGAGAGCGTCTACAGGCAAACAGCTCCCTGAATCTGCACATGTGCGCTTTGCTCGAGGCATGTTGCTCCAAACAGTTTTTTCCAGGATACACACAAAACACATGTGGTAGGTGTAGAACCCCCTTGAAACAGCAGGCAAAGGTGGCAAAACTAAATCCTTTCAGGAACCGTGTTTTCTGAAAAGTGCGAAAGGCCAGTGTGTTTGGTTGCAGGCCTGCATCCTCACCATCCCCGCGCTGGTAGGTGATGCTGGTAGTGCTGGTTTTGACTACTCTCAGGGTCGAAATCTAGGGGGTGCAAACCCTGCATTTGTCCTTTGGTGTTTGTCTTTGCTGCAAATGTGTGCCAATGCTAAAAGAAAGCTTGGAGCATAGGATCTCTTGGGTTGAGCGTCTAGGGGGCTGCGAATCACTCCACAGATTGCATTCAGCTTGCTACGCCAGCTGCTGACGCTCTGTGCATATGTGACCGTAACATCGTCATGGTTTGCCAGTGACTGGACGTCGCGACACATGCCGCTTGTTGGTCATGAAACCTCACGTTAGTGCTTGGTCATACTCACACGTGCTCATCCGCTCAGCCGTGCTCGGCCGTGCTCAGCCAGCGTTTGACAGACCAATCGGTCACGCAACCTCGCAGTTTGTGCTTAAGCGTTGTCGGACACATTTCCTTGAATGCGGAACCTCAAAATGGGCATCGTTTTGCTCGAGACATTGAGGGATACTGCGAGGATTCTGTGCTGTTGAGCAGATTGCAGGCGCGTACCTGTGAGGAGTCCGACGTGGAGTGCAGCTTTTTTCAGCCGAATCCAGGAGCCACCATGAACAATGCAGGTCTTGAGAGATTAAGTTGTTGTTGAAAGGGTGGGAACATGTGCAATGCTGGCCCTGGCTCATTCCTGAAACGGCCTTTTTCCAGTTGCTGAAGGAAGCTTGAAGCCGAAAATCATTCGGAGACTTTGCATCTGAGGGTCTGAGCCGCTGGAGTTGCAAATTGGCCCTGAACAAGTCACAGCCAGGCTAGACACATGTCGTGCTATCCTTTAGTCAGAATAGTGAGATACAAACATATCAGTATGTCAATCATAAACCCCAACCCCCCAAAAGTCGATGGCCGGGAACCGATCTCTTCCCAGGCGAACGGAGTCCTGAAGCGCCTCCATGGCCTCCCAGGTCTCCCCTGAGTCGAATCTGCCCAGTCTGGGTCAGTGACATCCTATGAAGCCCAGGGATCCCACTCTTAAACTTGCATTGCTTCACATCGCTTCATCAAACCGGAATGACATTGCCAACATGTCCAAAACGCAGTGCTGCCCAAGATTCTTTCCGAAAAAATCGATGACGCAAATTGGCACACTAGTGAACTCGATGCAAAACAATTGTGATCTCATCTAGTTCATTCCCCCTATGAACAAATGCCATGGCTAAGATTCCAAATCTCTGATACTATCAACTAGAATTAGCCAATGCGCACCCAATTCCAAACGAGCAACTTCCCGTCGACCAAACTCCAGTCTGAGGGGACATTTTGGAACCAATACTAAGCCATTTCAAACCAATTCGAACCCAACAAAAAGATTGGCTCCCATGTCCTTAGACCCTTTTCCAGGGCACGGTAGGGCACTGGATCCAGAACCAGGTGCCCAGCATTGCCACGTTTGTCCGTCCACTCGGGGGGGTAGCGCTCCTCGAAGGGAACGAAGGCCAGCGAGATGGGGAAGTGGATCAGGTACAAGTCCAGGTAATCCTTGAACCCAGCAACCAGAAGCGAGTCAGTTTGCAACACACCATGCGATTGATTCGTGGATGTTGAACATCCGGACACAAGTCAAGCGGAAAAGCACGCCTGAGAAACCCCCAAGTCACATAGCCACATTGCAGTTGCACTAGCGACCTCATGTCAGCTAGCGCAAAAGGCAGAACCAATGTACTCATCGTGGCTTTGATTGAGTGGGCTGTTTGGGCATCTCCTGAAAGGAATCCACCTGGGGTGGTCCCCATACAACAAAAGCAAGAGATCAGGACTTCTGCCAGTCATGCTACCGACACATTGAATGCGTGAAGCAAGTCATCAGGTACTTTGCTGAGGTTCTGGGTTCTGCCAAGACTCCAGCCCCAAATCATCGAGCGTGCGCTGGCATGCCATTGGCACATGCCTCAGAATGTCACGGACCCCCAGTTGATCGATAGGGGCTGGGCGGCCCATCCTATATGGAACCCTTCACTTTGTTGGGGACTGGTTGGAAACACCGGAAACACCCCCCGTACATCTGCCAGGGTGCTTGATCTGGATAAACACTAAAGAGGCCCTGCTCATTTTCAAGCAAGTCAGCAATTCAGGCAAAACTGAGGGAGACATGTACCATGCCCCTTTGGAGTGTACTGTGTGTACTGAAAAAAACCGCCGTGCAAACTACTTGTCGTACCAAGTTGCATCCAATATCAATACGGAGCAAACGATGTGGGGGAGTTGGAAACACAAATAGCGACTGATGGAATGGATAAAAATGGCAAAGCCAACAAATGTGCAAGCAACAAAAAGGCCAGCCATGCGATTCCTGCAATCTATGGCTCTCTTCGTCACTTCGCGCATGAGAGCAACGGGGGATTGCCCCAACTACAATCAATCAAGAGCAAAGTCTAGAACGTGTGAAACATGTGCGTATTGGAATCCATTTAAGAGCGAGCAAGTTGCTTCCTAAACTCAATAATTTGATTGTACTAAGGGAGATAGGTCGAAAATGGCGGGAGTCCCTATACACTGGCATATGTTTGTTCAATTCGAATAGTCTGATTTCAAGAACTCACTTCCCCCGAAGAAGGCTCCCATCATTCTACGGCCCTGGCGGATTCCACTTCCGCAATTTGCCCAAATGCCCACCAGCCATGACTAATCTCCTTCCCTCTAATTTGGTGGATTGATGGTGTGGGGGTTAGGGATGTTTCCCCAAACCACAATCCAATCCACCAATTAAGGGTTGCCCGCTAGTTGATCTTGTTATTTTGTGTGATTCGGGCACGAGCCTGTGCCCAGGCAATGGGTAAGTTGGGGTAAACAAGCCACAAAAGAAAGGTTCCCCAAAAGCAAACCAATCCCCGGTCCCAAAGATCAGGGTTTCCCACACACCAGAGAACAACAACCAAAAGGAAACAAACCAAACAAGAAAAGGGTTAACCCGCAACCTTGGTCGACAACAGGCCGCACGACTGGTCCCTACCAACCTGGCGGCGGCCCGAGGTCTCTTTCTCCCCCGAGATGCCGTCGGTCGACGCAGGGGTTCGGCGACGCCCATTCGAGGCGCGACGGAACCCAAAATCTTGAGCCAAACATCACAGGTCAGTCACTACCGCGACATCCCTGATGATGAAATGAATCATGGCCAATCACACCCCCCTCACGAGGAATCCGTCATATGACGGGTGGAGCGTGCCATTTACTGATAGGATTTAACTGCTCGCATGCGTCCGCAAACAGCTGGACACTACCGCCGTCAGCGGTGGAGCAAACCCACAAAGGCAGTTGCGCGACATCCCGGGCATTAAATTCCCGCCACCACCCCGAATTAATCGGGGTAACGCTGTCCAACACACCTTGTGGAAGAGTCCACGTGACGACACTAGGCCACAACTGTTTGCATCAGCAATGCAAGAAGTTTAATTCTTATCAGAAGCCATGAAATAAAAGATAACGTATGTCCATTAGTACCCTCGCCTATCGGCAAGAGGTACTCCTGACCATGCGTACCTGAAAAATGCTTGAATTCCGCAAACCCGGGAGTAACCCCCCATTAGCTTGCTTTCCCTCTCACTCACACTGCTTCCTGATGAACACGACCAGCAGCCCAGCAGCGGTACGGGAGAGACATGATCTCCGCGCCTCAGCGGTTCGGGAGGAGCATCACCATCTCCACACCGCGCCAACCATCGGAGAACGGACGCAAGCCTATCGGCCGCAATCCTCGTGACCCAGCCTATCGGCTATCGTCACGTCTCCTCCGGTCACGTCCGCCCCGCGCACGGTCTCTATCACGATCCCTCTCGGATCTCCTGCGATCATCTCGCCTTCGATCCCGCTCCCGATCGAGTGAGTCATCATCATGACGATCTCGAGCATCGTCCCTCCTCCGGTCACGATCATCCTCGCGCCGCGGACGGTATCTGCGCCTTCTCGATTCTCGGGAATCCCTGGAGTCCACGGTCCTAACGGACCTCCGAGATGGAGTGCGGGAGACGTCCGAGTCCCTGCGTCTCCTCCCAGAACGAGAGTTCGTCACGATCTGATTGAGAGCCTCCAGTGCTGAAGCTTCTTCACCACCATTTCTGATGAACTCCCTGACCTGCCTGTTCAGCACTCTATTGGTAGAAACCGACAGGAGAGCGTCCACCACCGAACTCTCAGGCAGCGCTAGAAAGTGACCTTCTACCGGACTCGCCGCAATTCGTTCAGCCGACTGCAACCTGACCTCCCCACTTTCAGGCTTCTTTGCCATTGCCTTGGAGGCCGTCAGAGGTGCTACCGCGTCCTTTGCCGAAGACCTACCAAGTGCAGAGTGAAGATCATCCGCACTAGCCTCTCTTGCTGCCGCACCTGGTCTGCTGTCAACGTCATCAGGCCTTGTCGATGCCTCCCGCTTCGTCGACTCCTTCACAGTCTCGTCAGGATCCCAACGGGACTTCCTTTCTCTCTTCTGCCCTTCAGCTGAGCCTCGACTACCGCCGGGAGCATCAGCACCGCCTACCTTCTCCTTCTTGACTTCAACTTTCGGGTCGGCCTGCTTCGTCCCCTTAGGCTCAGCCTTCGGGGCTGAAGCACTCTTCGCCTCAGTCACTGAGGCAGCCCTTCCCTTCGGCTCAGCCTTTGGGACCGGAGTCATCTTTGCCTTTGCACTTGGCCGGGCTCCTTCAACCGCTATCGCGACCCAAGTCTTCTTTGGTTGAGCCACAGGGGTATCAACCTCCATCGGAGCCGGCCCTGCATCAGCTTTCGCTTTTGCCTGTGGGACAGAAGGACTATCGCCCTTACCAGACCCTTTCTCTGGCGCTTCACCTGACTTTGGTGGTGGGCCGGAAGGACTACCGCCCTTACCGCCCTTCTCTCCTTTCTTTCCTTTTCCTTTCCCGCCCTTGACGATCGGCTCCTGCTTCGGACCAGGACCCTGCGCAGCATGATGCACCGACTGGAGCTCTTCAACGTTCACATCCAGCGGCTCCGGCTGACGACCATCAAGAATCGTCCTCACCCTTTCGTCACTAACGTAGACGAACGGATCACGGAAGGGAGCAGGAGGCTCTGATTGCCCAGCACTGATTGCCTTCTGCACTTTGGCTACCGCCTCCCTCAATCTCTTTTTCTCGTCGTATCCTGTTGCCGAGACCATGTAGTTCCTGAGATCCGTCATCAAGACGTGGCTAGCCAGTATGTCTGCATCCTTCCTGTGGGTCGGATACAAGGGAGTCAGATGACCAGCCGCAGCACCAATCACGTACGCCATTGGGATATAGAAAGACAGATAAGTGTCGTGGCGGGCGAACTTCCTAACGGAAGTCGTCATACGCCTACCCCATTGGGCCGCATGAATCGGATTTGCCCGGAAATACTCAGTGACCGAATCAAATCTATCGACTTGATTGGTCTTGATGAGGTGCTTCGCCACCCACTTCTCCACGAACGCGTCCGAGGCCGAAATCCCAGACACATAGGAGAACTGAAATAGCACCTTCGCCAGCTCATCCCACGCCGCATCAACTCCTCCCTTGTCCTCACCAAGATAAGGGGGCAGTCTGATGCCGCTCTGCACCGTCATCCTCAGGTCAGACGCCATCGAATAGGAAATCAAATTCCTCTTGATAACTCCGACCACCTCGGTTGGGATCCTCTTGGGCTTAAATTGCCTCATACTCTTCACCCAGTCCGGGATGATGCCACACCGGTCGAAGTCATCTTCGTCCGCGTTGGGGATGAAGTTCGGGTAGAACACCGGGAGTGCGCGCCCGGGGCACAAATGCATCCCATTAGGCGTCATCTCCGCGCACCTCAAACAGAAGGTGGTAGTCACGTTCAACCTGACTTCCTCACGTGACCGCTTGTGCTCCCCCCTATCGGGGGTGAGGTCACCATAGTCCCAGGCACGATGGTACACTATCGTGTAATCATCGAACATGTACGCAGCCTTCCACGCACTCATGTGGATCTCATTTCGAACAGCAAGGGTCTTTCTCCTTGTCAGAAACACAGGTCCAACCAACGACCGGTGCACCCGAAGGTCCGCCATGACCACCACGTACCTACCTGAGTAGTTCCGCAGCCTGTCCCTAACGTACCACGACGGCGACACCTCGGCATTCGGCGCCATAGTCTCCACAATTGGAATCAGGCCCTCATCCAGCCTTCCATCCCCAATGGTCTCGTACGCATCGGGCCTCGTGATCAATATCTCGATCATGGCCTTCCCGTTGCGCCTCATCTTCTGGAGTTGGACTGCCTTCCTGAAGTCTAAGAACTTCATGATGACGTACCCCACCATAGGGAGTTCATTCCAGTGCATCTCGTACATCAGAGATCCGCCAGGTGCATCCTCCTGAGTGTATCTTTGCCTAACGGCGCTGAAACTCATGTCTCGACCGATCCGCGTGTACCTAACGGCCACCAATCTAGTGCACTCCCTGAGGAGGACACCATTCCCATCATACATGATCATGAGCATTGCCTCAACCTGCCCTACCGGGAAAGCTTTGATCGTCGGGATAAAGAACTTCCATGACATCTCGGCGTTCTCCATACCCGTTACCTCTCTCAGGAACCAGATGGCCTGGTCACTACTCACCCAGTTTCCAGTCTCTCGTCCAGTTTCCTTCAGTACGTTCTCCTCGAATAACTCCGAGACTCTTTTCGAGTTGATCATCAAACCTTCAACGTCACACGAGAGCAGCTTCATCAACTCCTGAGCCGCCTCTCGTCCTGCGACAGTGCTCGCGGTCTCCTCGTAGTTCGGAACGTACTCGCTCAATCTCGTCTTCGATGGGACCACGATCTGGCAAGTGACAGCCTCATCAGGCACGACCCCAGTTTCCCGCAATTCTGGATTGATCTCCTGCCTATCGGCGAGGTAGTCCTTCCTTCCATCCAGGATCACGAGGTTGTACGTC